ATCTCTGGTCACGTCTTCCTTCGGAAGGGAAGTAAAGCCGTTGGTCCCAGCCCATGTGTGTTGAATGGGTGCGATATCCTACGCAGGTGTGGAAGCTGCCTTCCTGCACCATTCGATTACCGTCAATGGATAGCAATCGATGTCTGTCAGTGATTGGCACTAGATTGCGGAACAGAGATCGACGTTAAATAAAAGAAAGAAGGAAGGAAACAATTTGGAAACTCAGCATTTCGAACGGCCTTAAAATTCTGAATGTCTCAGAATCACTCAAATACTCCTGCTCATTGTTACTTATTGATTATTTTCTTCTTCCAGTGCATCGTTAAATTGTCAAGTTTAAGATCTCACAAGCTCCAGTTCCAGAATATTGAAAATAAAATAATCAAGATTCGTTCAACCCCTGATTCCCCTTGCGACGAAATTATTAAGGTAATTCGAAAATAGGGATTTTTTTTAAATATATCAAGATTACATTAACGATTCTGTTGCTATTCTTCACAGTTTTATTTTTAGAGTATTCTCGAGTTTTCTTTGCGTACCCCGTGTCCATGTACTTTAATTCATAATATTTTTGTAATTCTTCAATTTATTCTCGCAAAGCCCATTGAATACTTTTCAAACTTATTTTGAAATCCTTAACGAAAGTCCTTAAGAATACTTTCCAGAATTCTCTAGGAGTTCTCTGCAGAGTGCTCTTGGAATTATGCCCATTGATTAAATGTCAATGAAACTAATGTCGGTGATAAATTGTTACTCTTGACGGGGGCCAATTTGTGCACTCAATATTCTTGCTACTGAACTTTCATGTGACATGATGTTTCCAAATATTATAAATTACTAATACTACTAAATTCCTGAAGGGCTACAGAAACATGGCCGGATATTTACAACTGTTACTAAACATAACCGCAAGTAATGATTATTTTAAATTCTCATGAGTTTCGATGTGACGTATGAAGGCTTTTGGTTTCCACGAAGCCTGAGAAAAATATGACCGTAAATTATGTTATTCTGTTATTTACTGTCCCGGTTGGTTCTCGTGACATGTCTGACATTTTTCTTAGGGGATGAGTACTTAAAGGGAGTTAAATGTTGATAAGTCTTTAGTGGGAATGACACTGATGAAGACTGTAGTCGAAATACGTTTATCTATATGAAACTTGGGCCTCCGGGTCTCGGATTGAAAGTCGGCTTCCCATGCATACCGCATACCCTTTTTTGTAAGAAGGCTAAAATGGCTACGATATATTCATGATCATATCGCATATCTTGGCTTCACACTTCATCCCATAGATTGTCCCAAATCGAATGAAAAAATATGCATCAAAAGTTTTTGCATTACTTCCACTGTCAAACGCATCCATCTTGAAGATTTCAAGTATTTGCTGTTCCATTAACTGCGGCACCCTCTTCACCGAAGCTAATTGCACCAGTTTTTTTCGCACACTCAAAAAGAAACGACCGTCGCCATCAAAGGAACTAAAAGTGCGGGTGTCGCTCGTGTCATCTCCACTAATAATCAACCTGACTAGCCGGCCGTCGTTGTCATCGCTCTCGCATGGGAGCCGATTGCAAGTGTTTGAAGCTAGGAGTTTATTTGCGCTCACTGTGCGCGCCAGTCTCAGCTAGGTCCTACCCTACACCTACAAGATTGAGAGCGATGCTGGTGCTGGGAGCGGGAAGCAATGAGAAATCAATTTTCCCAAAGAGTGGAGGGATTAATTTAATTACCATGGGCGGAGATTGCTTCCTTGAAGTGCACATTTTCCCTTCTGCTTTTGCATGGATTATACCGACTCCTGCTGCTAACTTCTTGGCTTGATCCGTCACCACCACCCGTCAGCCATCACCCGATACCGGATGAAGAAGAACCAATGAAGAAGGGTTAACCGAGCTCCGGGTTGGAGCGGTACACAACGCGCGCGCGATGGTCCATGTAAAATGAGTCCATAAGCAGCATTTGGTTGAGGATGTTGAAAGGGATGGTCAGTGGTGGTGGTGAGTGGCAGGAAACAAGTCGTGTGCTTTTCGCTTTTTTGATGGCGAGAAGGTGTGTTTTTCTTCCGTACCCCCGTGCTTTTTGCTGAGGACCAAACAGGGTCGATAATCTGCTTGGGGCGTAATTTGATTGATTCTGTCAGGTGTGGGTAAACCTTTTTACCTTTTTCGGTATATTTTTCATCGACATCGAATGGTATTTTTTTTTTGCATGCCATTGAGACGGTAAGAATTTGAGTGAATTCGTGTGAAATCTGTCCATGGTGATGATCATTTTTAAATGATTTCCCTGCAGAGTTATGTTGCGAAAATATTGCTTGAATTACTTCAAGAGTAACCATTTTCAGATCGATTTTCAGAGAAAACAAAATCAATCCCAGAGTACACAGTTACCCCATAGTTCATTCTAATGAGCCATCCTCGTTGGTACCAGCCTAGCACAAGATGAGTGATGCATCTTTTTTTTGTGAAGGATTCCGCCGATTTGAGGAGATGTCTAGTACGAATTTCGAGAGTACGAGCCGAGGAATATGCTGCAAATCCTAACCTCGCAGCTGAGAGCAATTCACTGTAGGAGAACAATTTGTAACGAAGGTCGGTCGAGCTGTCTATTATTTATTGATGTCGATAGAGGAGAAAACATCGTGTGTGGTGGTTGTGATAAACCTAATAATTCTGGACGATGGGTCAATGTCGGGACTGTTTTTGTTGAGATTAGAAATCCTCAAAGAAGAGATGAGCGGAGAGAATGTTTTGAGCCAAATGAGCTGTCAACATCTGTGCTAATCAAATATTCCCATTAGATTTTTTCCCGATCGTTTCTTATTCTTACTAGATCATATTTGAGAGTATTGTAATCAAATATAAATTCAACCATCTTTATTTTCCGTGTGCTTTGCAAATTCAAGTAAATCTTTCAAATTTGTCGAACCTCTTAACGGAATCCCTTTATGAAGCGCTTGAGTGAGTAGTGTTGAGTACTTGGCACTGATGAAGTCTGCAAGTAGTAGACGAAATACGCGTTTCTGTCAAAAGATGAGCAATTATTACGGAATTAAGGAATTAAAAGGAAATAAACCAACACACTCAAAGCTCTTCATAAATTCAAGTAGTTTTTAAAATCAAAAATAATATTCTAACTCTTATTAGCCTCGGTTTGTTAATTAATGGCACCAAGAAATGTGCAACATATTGCGATGCACTCAATTATTATTTTTCACGTACATCGAATCGAAAAGAAAAGTCATGAGAAATGGCAGGGTTGCAAAATAATGTATATACAAAACCCTGCTGCCGAAATGTATTTTGTTTTCTCCACCCATCTCTCCCTCTGAGCACTGCTACTTGCCAATGTCAAGCAGTCCACCGCTTAGAGAGACTTTTATATGTGTACCTTGTGATCACACAGCCGGATTGCGTCACGAGTTGCACTACAGCGGCCAGCGTACGACAAGCGAGGATTGCTCGGGAATTAGAACATCTTGAAGCTGATGGAAGTAATGCACGGGCAATAAATTCGACCGAAAAAAGCAATCACTCATGTTCTCGTTTACGCTCGAACCGTATTTTACAAAAAATGTTATTGTGTGGAATTTTAATTACAGACAATTCTTTTAAGATGCGTGACGCTTAGCGAAACAAATAATACGCAACTACGGAGTGATACAAATTCCACTGAATACATTGCCAAGAATAACTATCGATTTCCTCTTGCCAATAAGTGATTCAAGAAATACAACCCACATTCATCAACTAGGCGTTGTTATTTTGAAAGGATTATCCGATTTACTATTATATGCTCTCAACAGATTAGAGTTAGTCAATGCAAGTGTACGTGCACATGATGTCTAAAATACTGTTTCTTGAGAGACAGACAGAGAGAGAGAGAAAGAAAATAAATCCTTTAAACATTTTCGAATTCCGCTCTGTTGGAGCGATGATTAATCTGACGATAGATATGAGCATTAATTTCATTCAAGCTTTAAACACTGTGTGGAGTTTTCAATTCAGCTCTTAAATCAATTTCACAACCCGTTAAGCTATGTTGCAATAATTCTCAAAAGAGGCTTCTAACACTTGAATTCCTTAAACCCTCAGCAGTGGTTCCCAAGTTGGCAATGATTCAATTCAAATTTGTTGTATTCTCCTCTGTCTCCACGATCAACCTTATGAAAGCAAGTACGATCAATGCAATCTGTTCACTCCCAGAGCGCAACCAAGACCATCTTGCTCAAGCCACACGAGCAAATGCTCCCAAACACACGGCAAATACGATTTAATACTCGATACAGTCACAAAGCCACAGAATGCTAAAGTCTCTCGGAGGAGACACTATTGTTAAGATGCAAGGAAGCAGCATACACACTGAATAACCATCCTTGTGCGGCGAGGTAGCAAGAAGGAAAATACACACTATAAACAAATGCTCCTTCCTTCGACGACGGTTTGCTGCCACCCACTCACTCATTGCACAAACGCACAACCCTCAGAACGAATGTACCACCTATGTGGTGTGTGTGTTTGTGTATTTGTAGGTAGTTGCCATTCATTCGAAAATGTGTGTTGCTACATTTGTTTACCAACTCGTTTCCAGCTCCACATGAAAGTGCAGCAGCCAGCATGGCAATTGTCTTTTGCACGATGTTGAATGAACTCTACGCAACGTACACCAAACCCGGCAACCCAACGAGGTCGAACGTATTATGCACGGGGTGCCAGATGTGGAACAAGTGGGGATGAAATTCATTATGAATCAGCCTGGGATGCATTTTGCATTTTATGCTAATTGTGCAGAGAATTATAGAGCAGCAGCAGTCGGCTGCTCGAGAGATTGAAAGAGCCCGAACTCGTTCCGGCTCCTTGCTGATATAATTATTAGTAAATTTCTAATTCTATACCCTCCAGGTCTAGATTGTGCGAATGTGATTCTACTGTGGTGATACCGTATCAAGGTCTAATAGGCATACTGAGGGTGGATTTATGTTCCCATGCTTGTGGCTTACCTTATGTGTACCGACAGCGTGTGCTCCATCATATACATATAAATGATCATTACAGTCTAATTGTAGCATATCGAAACGTAACATAAATCTCTGCAGTATCGAGTGTGTTTGAAATGTGATAACACAGTTTAGGTTTCTCTCGTTCTTGGAGGAGAGTGTAGCACCATCTATTTTCCTATATAGTTGTTGTAAAAAATGAGTTTTACAGATTGAATCCATGTGATCTGAAACGAGAGGGAAAGAACGCGGAAAAAATGGATTAAAATTTCGTACACGCTTTCGTGACGGCGGGAAAACAGAGAAGTGATATGTGGACTGGACATGTTTGAAATATGAAACTCGTTGACCAAATGTCAGCCAGTGGGTCATTAGTCTTAGTCTGGCTGCCGGTTGCACGGGAAATCCAATTAAAACCGGAGTTTTTGTTTGCGAATGCCAATTTTTCATTCTGGTACTGTATCGTTATGGCAGAGCGAAAGGAAATACCTACGGTAGGAAATGGAGTGTGGACCGCTACTAGCCACCTGGTAGCTTTATAAAACGAACATCTGAACATCATTTATCGATGAATTTGAAATTCCATTGTTGTGCAGATCTAAATTTGAATGCTGTAAAGGGGGTGAAAATTATGCGGTACCAAGCGCTTCCATCGTTTTCTAGAACTAAGGGGCTGTTTATAAACCACGTAGACAGTTTAGGGGGGGGGGGGGTTGACAATTATCCACGGCCCATACAAATTTTAAATTTTTTGTATGGACAGTTGTCTACGCAGGGGAGGGGGGGGGGTCAAGAATCCCAAAAATCTGTCTACGTAGTTTATGAACAGCCCCTAAGAACTCAATTCTATGGTAGGGTAAGCGTACCAGTTATGGCACTAGTGCTCCAGTTTTTGGTACCAGTGTCTAACTTGAATTTGAAATAAATTTGCATGGTTTTATTTGCGTTAACATATGGCATAATCTATGGTCTAACCTGGCATCGAAATAAATTTGGAAAATAATGAAAAAAACAAATAAATTTAAGATAGGGCCAATTAGAGGACTACTAGCAGCAATCAATACGAAACTAACGATTTTAAATTGGCTCACTACTTGACTAGCCTATTGGTCCCAAGCAAATCGATTAACGTGCCCCATTCTAGTATAAATGCCAGTACTACACTATGTTTGTTTTGATTCGCTATGAAAGTTTGACAGATAAAATGAGGGGTTAGTGGATTTTCCTATGTTTCGAGGGGTGAATCGATTACCTTGGGACCGAAGATAGTACCAGAGCTGGCCAAAAAGTTGAGCACGTTTCTACGGGACCTACTAGTATTAAAGTTACCTCCATGCTACTAGGTCCAAAAATTGGCACACTTACTCTACTCTAATAAAAAATAAATAAACAAAAGTTCAGAAACCACTGATTTGATAGAAAAGCTGACGAAAATCAACTATAAATGTATATGAGATCGTCACACTGTTGGCCCAGGCCATCATCATCAAGCGCACCTGTGGTTCAAGAACACAACAGCTCCAAGCTATCATCTCCTTCGTCGTTAATTATGGACCGTGAAGCCATAAAGATCGCCAACTGGAACGCTAGCTCCGTATGGGCGAAAAACATTGAGCTTGCAGACTTCCTCCGCAAGCACGACATCGACGTGGGCCTTCTCACCGAGACCCACCTCAAGACCAGTGACAGCTTCTGGCTGCCCGACCACAGCATTGTCCGGCTTGATCGCACCAGCTCCAGGGGGGCGGTGTCGCGGTCATCATCAAGGAAGGCATCAAGTACTGCACCCTACCCCACTACCGCACTTCCATCATCGAGGCCGTCGGCGTAGAGGTGGAAACATCGACCGGAAACGTCCGGTTCATCGCCGCCTACTGCCCCCGGCAATGTACCGTTAGCAATGGTACAGCACAGCAGTTCAAGAACGACCTTACCATCATAACCCGCACCAATGCCCGCTTCGTAATCGGAGGGGACCTGAACGCCCGGCACGAGGCCTGGTGGAACTACCAGCAGAACCAGAACGGCCGCCTACTATTCGACCATTCCCAGCATGGTCTCTATTCCGTCTGGTTTCCGGACGAACCAACCTTCACATCACCGGCGGGCAACCCATCGACGCTTGACCTGTTCTTGGCAAACACCGGATTAGCCAGGCCGGTTGCCGTCAACGACCTGAGTTCGGACCACCAACCGGTGCTGACCGAGCTGGGCTGCAACGTGGCCCCTGCACCGTTCCTGCGGAAGGACTACCATCGAGTCAACTGGGTCCAGTTTCGGCGCGTGGTCGACCGCCACATCGACGACAACCCACCGCTCGACACAGTGGAGGACATCGACCGGGCCCTGGAGGGTCTCCATCAAGCCATATCCGTGGCTGACGAAGAGTGCGTTCGACGAGTTCCTGTGAGGGGTAAGTTTCAAGCAATTGATTCCCACACCAAACTCTTGATTCGGCTCAGAAATGTTCGTAGACGCCAGTTTCAGCGGACTGGGGATCTGCAGCGTAATACGAAATGGTCGATCTGAATCGGCAGATCGCTTCCAGAATGGTCTCAATCCGGAACGAGAGTTTCGGGCGACTCGTTCAAAACCTGGACGACCGTTCCAGACCATTCTGGAAGGTTGACAAGGTGCTGAAGTCTCACTCCAAGCCCATTCCACCACTTAGAGTCAATGACGAACGGCTTATCACCAACGAAGAGAAGGCCAATGCGATTGGGGAGCACATTGCCCAGTCGCATTTGCTTGGCTCCAAAATCCCAAGTCCACTCGAGAACCAGGTTGCGCAGTGCGTCCAGACGTTAGATGCCTCCCCTTGTGCCGTCCCTCCAGAAGAACCGATTACAGAGGAACAAATTTGCTCAGCGCTGAAATACAGTAAGAACATGAAGGCTCCCGGGTTTGACGGAATATTCAACCTAGAGTTGAAAAATCTCAGCCCGAGGGTGCACTCGCTGCTGGCTGCCATCCTCAACAGATGCTTGGAGCTGCACTACTTTCCAAGCATCTGGAAGGTGGCAAAAATCACCCCGATCCGCAAACCTGGGAAAGACCCTTCACTACCGTCAAGCTACAGACCGATTAGTCTGCTCTCAGCGCTGAGCAAGCTGTTCGAAAAATTGATCCTCAGCCGACTGAACAAGTTTGTGGAGGAACATGACATTCTTCTTCCGGAACAGTTCGGGTTCCGCAAGGGGCATTCCACCAATCATCAGCTAGTGCGGGTGATGAATAACATCCGAAGTAACAAAGCTGTATCCAAGTCCACAGCCATGGCCTTGTTAGACGTCGAAAAGGCGTTTGACAATGTCTGGCACGGCGGACTTATATACAAGCTTTGTAACTCCAACTTTCCACCATACCTTCACACTAATCGAGTCAGTACGGTTTTACTGAGTTTTTGAATTGCGGAACTGTTCGGTAAAAGTTTAAAAATCTATGGAAAATTTATTAATGAGAAAATTTGTTCTGAACTTGTACATACTTAGTTCTGTTAACCCCATTTAATGATAGAAAATATAATTGGTCTATTTCATTGATTCCTTACGAATAACGGTCATTTGAATTTTTACCGACTTTTTCAGCAATTCAAAAACCCAGTAAAAAAATACTGACTCCTGTAAAAAAATCTTAGTGTGTTGTGAAAATCACCCGTAACTACCTCCAGCAAAGGTCGTTCAGGGTGTTGTTGAATAGTTCCCTTTCGGGACAATTTCCGATCCCAGCAGGTGTTCCGCAAAGGAGTCTGCTGGGACCACTGCTTTACAGCATCTACACGTCGGACATCCCTCCTCTAGGAGACGGTTGCGTGTTCTTCCTGTTCGCAGATGACACCGCGATAGCCGTCAAGGGTAGGATGCCTTGTGAAATTACGAACAAGCTCCAACGATGCCTTGACACCTTTACTGATTATGCCACCACGTGGGAAATCAAAATCAACGCCTCTAAAACCCAAGCGATCATGTTCCTTCACAGACAATCGCCAAAACTTAAACCGTCTCCCTCCTGTACCGTAATAATGGATGGTAGGGTCGAGTGGTCCACTGATGTTACTTATCTCGGGATGTTGTTCGATGAGAAGCTCCTGTTCCGCTCGCACATAGAGCAAACCCTAGTTAAGAGCTCCGCCTTGGTTAGGTGTTTGTATCCGCTCATTTGCCGCAGATCCCGCCTCTCAAGACAAAACAAACTGGCTGTCTACAAACAGATCATAGCCCCCGCGATCTTCTATGCCGCCCCGGTGTGGGAATCGTGCGCTCAGACCCACAGGAACAAAATCCAGTTTGCACAGAATAGAGTGTTGAGGAATATCCTAGATCGTCCATTCGACACAAGAATAGCAGACCTCCATCAAGAGGCAGAAATTCCCAAAGTAGATTCCAAAATTGAGGATATGACAACTAAATTTATCCAAAAATGCAATCTTTCTGAAAATGCTTTAATAAGCAATTTGTACATAGTAGGTTAAGTGTATACAGTAGAGTAGGTTAGTTTTAAGCTGTAAATAGTAGTATTAAGTAGTTTCTCTTCAAATTCTAAAAACAAAACAAACCAATCCCATCAAGGTGGTCGACCGTGTACTAAGTCTAGGACTAATTCTGTAAAACAAATTTTTGAATTTTGCCCATACCTAAAGATGAAGAAAGCAATTAAATCACTTAGAAAAATGTATATGGTAATCATCCAAGTTGAACTGAAATAAAGATCATTTAAACTAAACTAGAAATGTATGATTTTTTCATGAAGTGGTAAATGGTCAAGAGCTAACCAGACGAAGAAATTAGAACATTTAACCGAAGATATCATATCACGAAGAGTGGCATTTATGCCAAAATCCAAGCGTAATAAAAATATCAAATAATAAAATTGTCATTAAAAAATATCACAACATTGTAACTATGTAGCACAAAATTGTAAAACTGTACCGTATGCGTGATAATGTTTGCGCCATTAGGCAATGTAAAAATTAAAAAAAAATCTCAAAAATTTCGTTTTCGAGTTTTTTTCATTTATTTAAAGGGGGGATGTTTCTCAGAGTCCTAAACTATGTTAATCATCGATCGAGTTTCCACTTGCTGCAATTGCGGCCTCCTCACGCTTTCGGAATGCACGGCAGGTTCTAATAACGTAGTCTGAATCCATTTCCCTCCAGGTACGGGCCAATGTTTGTCTGAGGCTTGCTGTACTCGGATGACGTTTAGAACAGGCCTTGGCCTTCATGACG